CCTCTCCTCCGACTGTCGTCACCCTCTCCTCCGACTGTCGTCACCCTCTCCTCCGACTGTCGTCACCCTCTCCTCCGACTGTCGTCACCCTCCCCTCCGACTGTCGTCACCCTCCCCTCCGACTGTCGTCACCCTCCCCTCCGACTGTCGTCACCCTCCCCTCCGACTGTCGTCACCCTCTCCTCCGACTGTCATCACCCTCCCTCCGATGGTCACTACCCTTCCCCCCCGACTGTCATCACCCTCTACGGCCACCCCCCTTCCCTCCGACTATCATCACCATCCCTTCGGAGGGGCACTACATGAGTGGTTGTGATGGTGGGGGGGTGTGACGGTGGTGGTTGTGACGGTCATGTACCCAAGGATGGTTGTTTACTTCAACCAATCATGCGAGACGTTCAGGTAAATAGTAACAGCACTCTTGTCGACTCGGTTTTCATGGAACTCTGGTTCTTGTGAATAGGTCATGTGATCATCTCACCACCTTTGGGATGGTTGTTAGGTCATGTGGTAATGTCACCATCTTTGGCATTGCTTTAGGTCATGTGATGTCACCATCTTTAGGATTATCGGTCAAATTCCTCAGCGTCATGTACTTAAGAAAAAACTAAAAGGTAAATGATATCTTAGCCATCTTAAGAAAATGCAGCCCAATGCTAATTAGATTTACGCGCAATTAAGCATCTTTAGGACATAGGCCCGCAGTCAAGGACTAATTAGATTGTTTGAAAAGATAAAAACCTTCAGAAACCATCTTTAAATTCTCACCAGCCCGTAAGAGAATGTAACCATCTGAAGTGATTAGCGAACGTCCTAGACGTCAGAGCAACATGGATTGCGAGGCTTCTATTGAGAAGCAGCAATGACGAATCTGTTCATATATCGCGGTGAAATGGATGACCCGTACATAGAGATCTTGTCACCCGTACAAGTGACCCGCACATATACAGAATCAGTCAACCGTGGAAGTGGCGGACAGAAATAGAACTCTTTTAGTTCCACTTCTATTCAAAGTCGACTGGAGGAAATTTAAACCTCAAAAACAAAATTCTTTTAGTACAATCTGCTGGTGGTCGCATGTTGATGTATGGTGTTGCAGCTGTTGTTGTTGTAGTTGTTTTGGTGGTGTTGGCGTAGAAAATGTTCAGACTTTTGGCAATAGACACTACAGTATAGACGTGTTGGTAAAATGTGTGGGGGTGTGTTATAGGTTCACTGTATGCTGTATACATGAAGTGTCTGTATGTATGTGTTATATGTTCACTCTATGCATCATGAAGTGTCTGTTTGTATGTGTTATATGTTCACTCTATGCATCATGAAGTGTCTGTATGTATGTGTTATATGTTCACTCTATGCATCATGAAGTGTCTGTATGTGTGTGATATAGGTTCACTGTATGCAATATGAAGTGTCCATATGTGTTTGTTATATGTTTATTATATGCAAGATGAAGTGTTTGTATGTGTTTGTTATAGGTTTAATATATGCAACATGAAGTGTCTATATGTGTTTGTTATAGGTTCACTGTATGCATCATGAAGTGTCTGTATGTGTGTGTCCACTCTATGTCGCAACACGATTGAACATACTTTTGTGTTTGCATGTTTGATTTGAAATATCCGCTGTTGATATTACCGTAAAATGATGTTATTTCAACTGGTCTAATTCGTGTCTATCCCCCTCCCCACACACACACCAAATTATTCCTATCAAATAATACAAAATACTACTAGTAGTTAGCTAGCTTATAGTTTTAGAAGTCTTATTATTTTAACTTGCAGGTAAATGTAATAATTAAAAGTATTTTTATATCTCGATTATGTTGATTGCTTGTGTCTGGATCTCGATACTTTATTACCACCCTCTAATTTTATAGTGTCTTGTCAAATTTTGACACTGTCTTAAAATTTTGACACTTTCTTCAATCGGTGACACTGTCTCATATGTCGACATTGTCTGGAATATTGACACAGTTTTTCAAATGTCGCTAATTTAAAAGTTAACGAAATGTGTCGATCATGTTAACAAAACGTGTCCAGCATATTTTAGTGTACTAAATCCGGAGTGCAGTTTCGACTGGGCCCTATTTTAAAACGTTATGAGACAACTCAAACTGGATGAACAGGTAAGGTGTACAGGTAAGGTGTACAGGTAAGGTGTACAGGTAGGAGGCCGACCCATCCTCTGTAGCAGTTTTTGAAAGTAACAACAATTCTTCGCTCCATTAAGGAGCGGCTTGGTTAGATCCCCACGACCTAGAGGGCTATTTAGATAAATACTTTCACTCCTACACATTTTTTATTTACCCTACACATATTTATTTCCCTTACCACCCCCTATCATTTTTAATTCGTACCAACTCAAAGCTTTCATATCACCCTCAAACATTCTTACCCCCCCCCCCCCCTCATTCCTTCACATCCCCACCCAATCTTTCTGGTCTTTTATCGTTTAAGTTTGAAAACCAATAGGTGTTTAGTCAACGAAAATAAATTATCCGACTTTTCAGAGACAAAAATACTTCTCTATCGCATTTTAACTGTCGTATCTTTCACTAAGTGATATACACACAAGTATACACTACTTCCCCGCCCTTCGTTATGCTCCCCACTCTAGTTAGGAAATTAGGCTGATCTAACTATCGAAATATTACATAATTTTATGGCTCGCTGTCTCTTTTTAATATCTGATGTATCAGGTAGGGTGGACTTATAGGCCATTAGCCATTGAGGTTTCTGGTACCTTGAAATGTACTTTTCCTTCTTTCCGGAAATTAATTGAGTGCCATGTATTTAAAAACGCAGAAGTAGACATTTTTATAAACATTATTAAGAATTATGGGAGAAGTAAAATAATTAGGAGAAAGGAAAACTTGAGTAATCATATATAAGATAAAAATACACAAATGTTGGCAAATCTATTTATGTTGGTGTATTAATGTATTGGTAAACAACTTTCGGCAAAGCAATGAGGATAAATATAGTTGTTTTATGTTAAATAATTAGTTGCATTCGTTACTTCCCATTTATGACAAAACAATTTAATTAAGGGGAAAAAACTTTACTTTATTCTCTGAATGTTTTTAAATTTCAGGATAAAATGTATTAGTAATAAAATAAAAATTAAAGTAAATGCTTATTATTATGCAAAAAACATGTATAACAAAACCGTACAGATTTTCGTACCTTATTTCAATACTTCTTAAAATTTAGAATTATCATTAGACTTAACTTTATAGAAAAAACATTTAACTGTAAAACATATGTAATTTGTAGACTTCTGAAACCTTCCTTCATAGCTCACTTTTTTTTCCCTCCTTTCCCGTTTGACAAATTTCTCAGTAGTATTTTTATTTTAAAAGCGCAACAAATAAAATGGCCGGAGTTCACAAGATCACAACTGGGCTCAAAGGCTTTGTAGTGTTCAAGCATCCACATCAGTCTTTGGGAGTGTTGTATTCAACAATGTTGGGAGTTTTACAGAAAATGCCTAGTAACGCTGGATACCGTAAACATACGGAACAAATTATTAATGAACGTTTAAGTTTAGTTAAATCAGAATCAGATGTATCAAAACTAGAAAGTAAAATCAACTGTGGACAGATTGAAGAAGTTATCAAACAGGCTGAAAGTGAGTTATCCTTAGCTCGTAAAATGCTGATTTGGAAACCATGGCAACCTCTTGTTGGTCAAGCTCCACCAAACCCAAGGAATGGCCTCTGCCATAGATATTATAACATTAATACTTTTAATACTTGTTTATATATACTGCTAGTGTTTTTTCAGTCAGGTTACAAATGATGTTTCTAGAAAATTAGTTATTATAAGTTGTTAGAAAAATAAATTTGAGTATTTTTGAGTTATAGTAATATGTATTGAAAGTGATGAATGATTAAAATTCTCTTAAAAAGATTTTTTAAAAATAATTTCTTTAAACAAGTTTGAAAATGATCTAAAACAGAAATAATTGCAAGTAGTAGACTACCATGTCATCCCGAGGTTACAGCACATCTGTCGAGAAGTAAAGACGAAGCACGTTCCTGCACATCCGACACTCATTTGCATAGTACAACTAGAAATATTGCATTGCTTACCTAAACAATCACATTCTCTCAATCATTCCATTCTTTTTTTTATCGTTCATTTTGTCATAGAACGCACAGCTAGAGTAAGAATGGGCGTGGCTCCAACAGCTTTTGTATTTTTAATGGTGGGATTCGCAGAGAATAAAAAGTAAAATTTTTAGCAACAATACATAGGTCTAGTGACGCAGACAGGACGTTGTTTCCTAATTACCGGGAGATGATGGTGGAAAAAAAATTGTAAGGAGCGTCTTACTAAGACCTTGTAAGAAAGTTATCTGATGACGTAGTGCTCGAAGTTCGACAAATCCGTAGCCACGCTCTGTGGGCCTTGGCGCTCCGCCTGTCACGTGCATTGAAACATCACGATGTTTGAGTGACGGTTTAGCAATCACGTTAATTAAAACATCAGGATGTTGTACTGACCCTCCGCCTGTCACGTGGTTTGATTAAAACATCACGATGTTTCAGTGACTGTTCAGCTGTAATAAAAAAAACATGGCGACGGATTAGAGAAACAAAAGGCCGCTGGCTGAAAACTGCAGTGGCGGATTTTGTAATTAAGAAAAGACATCCACTTCACAAATGACGAGGTTTTCAGTAGTTATCTAAAAAGCGAAACCTAGCACTCTATTGAAGGCCTCGGCCTTTTACAACTTCTTAAATATTGGCAATACATCGTATTTCGCACTTCACCCAGAGTCAGAGTTTCTTCTCACCCCCCCCCCCCCCGAACGAAATGGAATTGATATAGAAATTATATACTTTTACCAGTGTCCGCCCACCCCCTCTCTTCCCGGAAAATTTAGTCCCCCTCCCTGAAGAAAAAAAGTCTGAAAGAAACACTGCCCAGAGTATCATTAGATATTCAACTAAACTTTAAATTCTAACTTCAAACTTTTCATTTGTTTTTCAGGCCTACGTCTTGGTGAAGTTCTATCGTCACTTCGGTGAGTAATTTTTTTTTAGACAAAACTCTTTTCTCACACATCCCCGTGGTGGGGTGTGTGAGAAAACTTCAATCACACACCCCTGTGTGAGAAAACTTCACTCACACATCCCTGTGTGAGAAAACTTCACTCACACATCCTTGTGTGAGAAAACTTCACTCACACATCCTTGTGTGAGAAAACTTCACTCACACACCCCTATGCTGGGGTGTATGAGAAAACTTTACTCACACATCCCTGTGTGAGAAAACGTCACTCACACATCCCTGTGCTGGGGTGTGTAGGCTACTTGCACTTTTTTTCTTCTTTTTTTTTGTGCATATTGCGAGTTTTGTTACATGAATGTTCTCTTTAATTTAAAATTTCAACACGCTAAAAATAGTAATTAATCTTACCAATATTAGGTGTATGGATTATTTTTATTTTATTTTTATTTTATTTACAATTTTCTATATAAAAAGTTTTAAGATGCAAAGTAACTGAAATTTAATGTAAATACTTAATTTTTAAAATGCAGCAGTATGACGTCAAAATGTCTCCCCCCCCTCTCCCCCGTCACACGCAGTCACTCCCTACTTCCCTACCCCATGAGGGGAGTGACGATGTGTGATGGACCTCACCCCTCTAGAAATAACGACTCCTCACGTACTAGTCCACGCCGTGTTTAGATCCTGGTTCACCCCGTGTCCTCACTTGAAGAAGTTCTAAAATTTGTCTCCCTCAAAGTCCGCTTACCTCCCCTCCCCAGATCGTCTTTAAAACATGTTGACCTTACCGTGGTCTCGTACCCAGAATACCAATAAAACAGCCTTGATATCGTCCTTCTACTGTACACATTAGTACCCATTGTGTTTCCTACGTCATCCAAGCCAGGATGTTTTAGTCACCAATCCAAAATCACGTTGAAAATATCAAAACTTACAACACAAGCTAATAACTAAAGTCACTGATCCAAAATGGCGTCTATGAGTACATGACACTCAAACCAATTTATGAAGTCAACAAACTAAAAGAACCTTTTTAAAAATAACGTCATTCATACCAATAGAAATCACAATAAAGTACTATCATTTATACTAATACAAACCATTTTAAAATAATGTCTTAAATAATGTCAGTCATAAAAAAACAAATCACTATCTTCTCTCACAGATTTTCACAACTAGCTCAGATCAGGTAACCATACACCCCATTAATATAACACAAATGCACACTGTACATACATTAACGTGTTAAAATATATTTCTTCTTACTTCCAATATTTGCAAATGTATTTAGTCAATTAAAATACTCAACCAAAATTGATTTTTTTTCTGAACATGGAAGAAATTGGATTCAGATTCGTGATGTATGTTGTACAGTAGGGATCATGTCACACGTTTAAAGTTTGATGTGATGATATGACATACAGTAGAAGATATGTTTATATAGTTATTGTATGTTTGATAATTCGTTTAAAGATCTATAGCACGACATACTGTCCACATGAGCGCGGTATTGTGCATGTATGTGCTTTATGTAGAGGTTTGTGGAGTGGGTATTTGGGGCGTCATATAGAAACCCGAAACCTCTTAACCGAATAGGGTGATTGTATAACTTGACTGTATAACTTGACTCTATAACGTGGCTCTATTACGTGACTCTATAACGTGACTCTATAACGTGACTCTATAACGTGACTCTATAACGTAACTCTGTAGCGTGGGTCTAAAACGTGACTGTATAACGTGACAGTATAACGTGACTGTATAACGTGGCCCTATAACGTGACTGCATAACGTGACACTATTACGATACTCTGTAGCGTGACTGTATAACGTGACTCTATAACGTGACTCTATAACGTGACAGTGTAACGTGGCTCTATAACGTGACTGTAGAGTAACTATAACGTGGCTCTATAACGTGACAGTATAACGTGGCTCTATAACGTGGCTCTATAACGTGACTTTATAACATAAGTGTAGAGTGGCTCTTTAACGTGACTCTATAACGTGACTGTAGCGTGGCTCTATTACGTGACTGTATAATGTGACTGTATAACGTGGCTCTATAACGTAACTCTATAACGTGACTAACGTAACTCTGTAGCGTGACTCTATAACGTGACTGTATACCGTGGCTCTATAACGTGACACTACAACGTGGCTGTATAACGTGAAACCGTAGATTGACCCCTTGTCCAACACCACACTAAACGTGACCAGAATATAATTCCACCGAGGGGACATAATAAGGTGTCAACAGAAAGTTCAGAATGAAACGATTGGTTCTGGACATTAAGTGGACACGTTGTTAAGTTTCCGCCCTAAATCACGCCCTCCATTGTTTGTGGTGGTCGAGTTGGTTTGGGGGGGGGGGGGGGGGAATCAGAGTCGAACAATGGATAGGGGGTTAGACTGGTAGTACTGTGGATGCTGAACTAGTTTTATCTTTCATTGACAAAGTTTTGGATGTTTTTATAAGAGCCATATAGTATGATATAGTTCGCTATACTTTGTTGATGTTATTTCGGTACAGAGGTCGTTTGCTGGGAAAATGGACGCCAAACTTTTCTAATCTATAATTCGAATGTTTTCTGAGAATATGTACCAGTATTCCTAAAGTTTAGTTTTTGTGTGTTTTTAAAATGAAAAGACGTGGAACTGTTCCAATCATTGGTTGAAGGAATATCAAGACTTTGTCTGTAGGAACTTTTGCCTGATATTTGAATTGGCATGGCGAATGATTCGAGAGATGCGCAGGTTGATGTATTGAGGTAACAAACTTGTGTGCTGTTTGTATTGAACTCATAGTAAAAGATGAAGTCGTAAGTCCATTAACTGTGTTTCTGTCATTGGTAAAGTTAGCTAATGTTCTATATCTTGGCCCACATAAAACTTACGATGACGGATAGAATAGAAAGTGAGTTTTGGACGATAATAAAGTGACCCACGTTTTCTTTATAGTTATTTAAATAGTAGTGTATTATTATATATTCAAAGAAAATCATTCATTTTCTCCTTTTTTAGTGCATTATTACATAAAAGCTTGTTATGAAAACGCTTTTAATGTTTTTTTTTTTACTGTGCAGATGAATTAATCGTTTTTCTTCTATTATTCTATCTGTTGACGAATCTGATTTTCTTGAAAGACATTCGCTTCCCTAACATGTTTCGCCTGTATTGATAATCGCGTACAACTATTATCTTAGATAATACGAGATTTGTTTAGTCTACAAAAAGTTCAAAATACACATTGGAAGCCAATTCATATTTTCTGATCAATTGAAAATACTTCAATATAGCCCGTCAGTTTTCCTCAAGTATGATTGAACTAAAATCCCTCTGCAGACACCAGGCAATACACTTCCGTGCAACGTACCAGCTGACAGTTCACTCGCTTCCACGTGACGTCACCAACGGACTTTGATCATATCTAAGTTCAATTTTTTGGGGCGCATTTCCCCCCCCCCCCCAGTTCATCAAATTTTTGGGGCGCATCCCCTCAGTTCATCACATTTTCCCGTCGTGTTTTTGTTTTCCACTGTCGTCTGTTGAGCGATGTTTATCTCCCGTCCTGATTTATATCGAGCAACATCTTGCACCGGTTGTTTATATTTGGTGGTCCTCTCTTCGTTTTGACTATTTTTTTAAACGCTTTAGGGATGTTTCAGATAGACCAAACCCAAAAAATCGATAAGAAAATTATCCGGAAGTAAAAATTTTGTGAGTTTTTTTTATCAACTAGAGCAGAATGATGATGGGTTGATAAAATATGTACACCTTATGTACACATTCAACTGGTGTTTTACCCACGGTACCTTATGTACATATTCAGCTGGTGTTGTGTAGGCTACAATAACAGTATTTTATGTACACATTCAACTTCTGTACACACCTGCCATATGCAAACATTAAAAGCGTGATGTACACAAATAGCTGATATACGTACACACTCAACATATGCTATAAGTAACGTTTTCACACTTTTCTTGTACATAATGTATGTTTAGTTCATTTCAAGTTGCATGTGTATAGTGGGGTTCTGTTTAAGTTTGTGTCGTTGTTTCTGGTTTAAACACCTCACATTATGGTGATTGTATCGCCAGCAGTTGCAGGTAATATATTCTAGAAGGTTGTCGTGTAACCTGTAGTGGCGGCAACATTTGCAGGTAATATATTCTAGAAGGTTGTCGTGTAGCCTATAGTGTCGGCAACAGTTGCAGGTAATATATTCTAGAAGGTTGTCGTGTAGCCTGTAGTGGCGGCAACATTTGCAGGTAATATATTCTAGAAGGTTGTCGTGTAACCTGTAGTGGCGGCAACATTTGCATATCACACAGCAGAGAGTGGCGCCAATACATGCAATGACAAGTCAGCCGGTTAATTGTTGAGTCATTAATTTATGCCACGAGCCAATCAATAATTTCTCGTGCGGTGGTGCGGTGGTTTTTATTTCCTTTCGGTTTTTAGCCACACCTGTAAGTTGTTTCTGTGTAATCGATCACAGCTCGGTAGATATCTGAACAAATACACGGATGTCAATCATATCACGGTGCCGATTGAACTGTATCGATACATAGCGATATCATTTGGGCCAGTGACATAATGAAACAGATTTTTTTTATTGAACACTGACGTATTAAAGTGACAGATGGTCGAGGGGGGGGGGGGGGGCATTTGGACATGAATAATCAAATAAACATTAGTGTATCAAAAGTATGATTTTTTTGTTATATATAAATGTCATTTAAATATAAATCGACAGAGATATTTTTAATAATTATAGAAATGTTTTTGAAAAGCATTTTTTTTTGTGTTCAGATTATGCTATTTAAAGTAGCAGTTGAATGGGAAATTCGTACAAATTAGCCTTTCCATTGACAAACAAAAGTCAGGGTATTTTTCTTTAGAAAAATATATTAGCAAATTAGGTTCTTCCTAACGATATAAAGAGATCGTGCTTATATGTATTGCCGGCGACCAGGTGTGTTAAGCAGGTATTCTCACCTTGATTTG